CCGATATTTTTTTCCCGCGTACCGCTTCAACAAAGCGCGGCATCTCTTCAGTCTCAGGTCCATTAGACGAGCATTCAAACGATGTCCTGTTTTTCTTCGATATGCCCGAAGCCCTAAGTCTTCATTTAACACCCTTTTCACCGTGGTTCTGCTTAACCCCATCTGAAGGGCCAACAGTTTCTGCTTACGTTTGGAATTTCTTTGAATTCGCGCCTTCACAGCTTTTATCACTGCTGGAGTCCTAACAGACCGAGGGCGACCACTTCTTGACCTGTCATCTACACTAGAGTCTTCATTGTATCGTTTGATGGTACGATAAATGAATCTTTTGGTTATATTCAAATTTTTCAGTATGTTAAAAATTTGAATTGGCGCGTAACCGCAACGATGCAACGCAATAACTGCAACACGGTCTTCATTAAGCGTCCACTCCATATTTAAAAATGAGTAAACTTCTAAAAGTTATACATTTTTATTTTCATGAACAATTCGAAATTCGAATTCAATAAACTTTTATGTGGCCAGCATTCTAAAAGAAAAGTTTTTACTGTGTGACAATACTTATGACCTGACTAGTTATATATCAGCATAACCTAACAGCTAGGTGAGCTGAAGGGGCTCAAATCTAAAGACGTTGCTAACAGTAACCCAAGCAAGAGCAGTTCTTCGCAGAATCTACCACCGGATCGGAAACGCGACCCACTGAGAAGATCCGGCGAGAAACTCAGTGGGCTGTCTGTCGGTTAATTTACTCTTCGAGCCCTTCGTCGCAAGTGACGGGTTCGACGAGGACGATAAAAAATGCTAAGCAGTAGCCTTACCGCGCCAGTCCCCGAGTGCCACACGTGTTTTTTTATAAATCCGACATTGGCAACATTAAAGTCACAGGAACCAAATGTCACACTTAAAAAATAGAAAAAAAAGCACCCAGTTGAATTTTGTTGTTAGGTTTAATGATTCACGAAATGAGTCATTACAGAAATACTTTAATTAAATTTTAAAGGAATTGAACGGCATCCTTTTCCTTGTGTTTATTTCCTCGTTTTATTCATTTTCGTAGTAAAGTTCGATTGTATTCTGGACTAGTTGACCCGGCAGACTTCTTAGTGCCTCAATCGATAAATAAAAGACCTAAAGTTTTGTCTATACTAATATTATAAAGAGGAAAGCTTTGTTTGTTTGTATTGAATAGGCTCCGAAACTACTGAACCGATTTGAATAATTCTTTCACTGTTTGGAAGCTACACTCTTCCCGAGTGACATAGTAACATTTTGAAAAAAAAATAGAGATCCTTACTAAAACTCCAACATCGTAACCCAAGGTGTAAAAAAATTACCTAAAATATTCTTTACATCGCGTGCCCTGCGAAAACTATTGATAATAGAATAAAATAATGTACTACGACTTTATAGAAAACATTATTAATTACAAAAAGTGTCGCGACAGCATACACCAAACTATTATAGTTATGCCGCAATAAGTGTTCTTTTATTTTAAAAATAAAATAACGTCAAATATCGTTGAAAATTTTGTTAAAGACCCGAGCGGAGCCGGAGCGGGCCGCTTGTATAAAATAAACTTAAAACAAACAAAAGGAATCCGTCCGACGCGACGGGGGCCACATCAAAGAAAAACAAAATTGTTATTTTTATTTAATTCCGAGCATTTTTATATTTATATCTACCTTTTAAATCTTCTCTGGACTTCCACGAATAATTCAAGACCAAAATTAGCCAAATCGGTCCAGCCGTTCTCGAGTTTTAGCGAGACTAACGAACAGCAATTCATTTTTATATATATACTTAATAGATAGGAATGTTAATGACTTCTAACAGCCAAATTGCATTAATGCGATTGGAAAGAAAACAAATAAAATATGTTTATTGACTTAACTTGCGCATGACTGAAACTGTGTGCTTAATGCGAGTTTTTAAAGTTCTCGATAACGTAAAAGTTAACTCAAAGGACATGGGCCATTTTCGGCTCAGCTACTAGTGCTCTCAACGTTTGCCTACGTTTGCCGCTAGGGGCGCTGTTTTAACGGCACACAAATTCGAGTTAACTTTTAGGCTATCGAGAGCGTTAAAGTACTCGCACTAAGCACTCTAGTAGCTCTGACTCGTTTTGAATATATGTGTTTTTGCCGCGATGGAATCACGCGTCATAGTTTTGCCGTAGAGCGTTCCTATTTGAAAAACAAAACGATTGTTTGTTACGCATTTGCAATATTAACTTTTCTAATGAAATACGTACTTAACAAATGTTCAACGATCACGATTGACTTCCCGTGGAAGGAATAACATCGTGTAATAAAAGAATCAAACCCGCAAAATTATAATTTGCGTTATTACTGGTTGTAGTAGTAATAGGTAATAGTACTGGTAGGACATCTTGTGAGTCCGTAAGAATAGGTACCACCGCCTTGCCTGTTTCTGCCGTGAAGCAGTAATGAGTTTCGGTTTGAAGTGTAGGCCAGCCGTTGTACTGTAAAAAATGGAGACTTTAGAACTCATGTCTCAAGGTGGGTGGCGGCATTTACGTTGTAGCTATCTATGGGCACCGTTAACCTTTTAAAATCAGGTGGGCCGTGAGCTCGTCTACCCATCTAAACAATAAAAAAGGGAACTCGAAAATCTTCGCGTTCCCTATCATGACTCCTGTGAAAACAAGACCTTGTCAATTTATTTAACCGTATCGTGGTTCAAGGGCCGATGCATGGAAAAGCGGTGGTCTGCTACGTCGCGAGCTGGGCAGCCTACAGGCCCAACGATGGGCAGTTCACCCTGGATAACCTGCAACCAGCGCTCTGCACCCATTTGGTGTACTCGTTCGCCGGACTCAACGAAACCACATTCACCATTAAAAGCTTGGGTAAGTTAAGCTTCTGTATGTAGTCGTTCTTCTGTTTAGAAGTCGTCGTGGCCTAACGGATAAGACGTCCGTTGCATTCGTGTTGAGCGATGCACCGGTGTTCGAATCTCAGGCGGGTACCAATTTTTCTAATGAAATACGTACTCAACAAATGTTCACGATTGACTTCCACGTTGAAGGAAAAACATCGTGTAATAAAAATGAAACCCGTAAAATTATAATTTGCGTAATTACTGGTGGTAGGACCTCTTGTGAGTCCGCGCGGGTGGGTACCACCACCCTGCCTATTTCTGCCGTGAAGCAGTAATGCGTTTCGGTTTGAAGGGTGGGGCAGCCGTTGTAACTATACTTGAGACCTTTGAACTTATATCTCAAGGTACCCACAAGGTATCTCAAGGCGCATTTACGTTGTGGATGTCTATGGGCTCCAGTAACTACTTAATACCAGGTGGGCTGTGAGCTCGTCCAGCCATCTAAGCAGTAAAAAAAATACCAGTAGATAGACTGTTCACATTCAACGGGTCTAAGCCAATATCCAACATCTCAACTGAGAGCCAATGAGAGCCAAAGAGATGTAAAGAGAGAGAGAGAGAGAGAGAGAGTCAAAGTAAATTCTGCCTCACACATCGAGACACGCAAGTGCCAATTACAATTTAAATATACTGAAAAACCGGTTCTTTTTCACCTTTAGCTTCGCAATTGAAATAAGCATGACGGTGGAGGCAAATACTCAAATCAATAGACTCCAAAACTTAATTTTAATGTCCTGATTCGATACTGGTTCCAGGGCCTTAGACCTTAACATGTTTAATTGATCACCAATCAGATAAAAATAAGGGCGAGGAGTAAGACTTTATATAGAAAGAAGAAGTGATCTTATCGGTTAATGGATGTTTTCGACCAATCTGGGTCAATTCTTCAAAGTTCTGCGTAAAGTCCAGATACGTAAAACCAAATAAATGTCTTTAACAAAAACAATTCTCTTATGTCCTATAATGCTCTGAGCTATATACCCGACGGTGCAATATAAGTAGCGGACAGGAATTGGATGATTGGTAATCAATTACAACAACTTTTCGTATGTGATTGATCAGCCTTGCTTGGAGCTCATGTATTTATGAAATTAGATTTCAGGATCTTACATTGTTATAGTTTGGTCGATAAATGGAACATTGATCGATGTGATTACTTCTTCTTCTCATATAAAGCCTTACCCGTTCCTCCTTATTATCATTCGATTGGTAAATAATGAAACATATCAAGAGCCAAATCCTGGAACCAGTGTCGAATCACAAAATCAAAATCAAGTTTTATAAGTCTATCGGTTTGCATACGAGTATTTGCCACCATCATCATGCCTATTCCTGCAAAGCTGAAAATGAAAAAAAAAGCTGTTCATCACCATTTCATCATTATCCTGCCCTTCTCCCAGTCCGACCTGGGATCGGCGCAACATGTTTTCTCCTTCCATACTCTTCTATCATATACCATTTCTTCGCTCACTCCCCTCTTACCCATATCGTCTCTCACGCAATCGGTCTATTTCTTCTTGGCTCTGCCTCTTCCTCTATATCCTTCCACATTCATAGTTAATGCTCTCTTACCAACCTCCCAAACGCGCACTTCTCAGCTTCTCTGTCAAAAGGTGCCACTTTCAGACTTCCTGTAACATATTCATTCCGTATTCTATCCATTCTCGTTACTCCACACATCCATCGCAACATTCGCATCTCTGCTGCATGCAATCGCCTTTCATCCGCCACTTTTGTTGTCCAACAAGCTGATCCATACAAAACTGCAGGCCTTATTAAGGTCTTAAATATATCTTCCTTTCTATTTTCCTTTAGGAAAAAAAGCTGTTCAATAAGCTTAAATTGTAATTGGCATTTTGCGTGTCTCAATGTGAGTGGCCAAATTTACTTTGAGACGCCTATTGGTTACGGTAAGCACGCATATTCAGTCGAGGGATGAGATTAAATATTTAATAAATTCGTTATTTTTTTATGTCTCCAGACCCATGGCAAGATTTAGAAAAGGATTACGGCAAGGCCGGCTACAAACGTATCGTGGCTTTGAAGGAACGCTACCCTCATTTGAAGGTGACCATAGCTATAGGAGGCTGGAATGAGGGTTCGGAACGTTATTCCAAAATGGCATCCAGCCCAGAAACTAGAAAGACTTTTATAAACAGCGTCATGATTTTTTTGAAGTGAGTTGTTTTTGAAGTGAATCTTCTTTATCGACGTAGGGAGGAAAAAAACGTATGTAACGTTTTTCGGTTACGCGCCATCTTAATTTCTTCCGTTACGCGCCATGTTTATTTTATTTCTATTTAATTTGTTATCAACTGATGTCGCTGCACGTAAATTCAACAATTCCTGAATCGCGGTGACGAGATGTTACACAGTTGATAGATGTTCTCATATTTCTTTTGTTAAATCATACTTAGCTGGCGTAGAGATACCGTGATCATGCAGGCGGTTCCCCGGGGTGCGGCTGCTCCATTGCACTGCGGAGTGGTTGAAGTCGTCGTGGCCTAAAGCAGTAAAGCAGTGATTCTCAACCTTTTATTTGTTGCGGCACACATTAAACGATTTTAAAATTTGGCGGCACACAAAGAAAAAGATTTAAACTATTTACTTTCTAAAACACTGCATAAAACGTTTATAAAAAAACATTAAATATACGAAATAAACTAATATATGCTTTAATAATATTTAAACGTTTAAAAAGGGATTAATTACAAGCTAATAATAAAAAAATATTATTTGATATAATTTAATAATATTGACATCATTATATTATATTGGCAAAATTTGGCGGCACACTTTTGAAATTTCGTGGCACACAAAAGTGCCGCGGAACAGTGGTTGAGAATCACTGGCCTAAACGATAAGACGTCCGGTGCATTCGTATATAGCGATTTAACGGTGTTCGAATCCCGCAGGCGGGTACCAATTTTTCCAATGAAATACGTACTTAAGAATTGTTCATGATTGACTTACACGGTGAAGGAATAACATCGTGTAATAAAAATCAAAACTCGCAAAATTATAATTTGCGTAATTACTGGTGGTAGGACCTCTTGTGAGTCCGCACAGGTAGGTACCACCGCCCTGCCTATTTCTACCGTGAAGCAGTAATGCGTTTCGGTTTGAGGGGTGGGGCAGCCGTTGTAACTATTCTGAGACCTTAGAACTTATATCTCAAGGTGTGTGGCGCATTTACGTTGTAGATGTCTATGGGTTCCAGTAACCACTTAACACCAGGCGAGCTGTGAGCTCGTCCACACAACTAGGCAATAAAAAAATAATAAAAAAAACTCTTGCGATTATTTTTATATTTTATAAGTTTCACTTCTACCGTGTGTGACTTACACACACACACACACACACATTTTTTTTAAAATTTCTCATTGCCCTGCCCTAATGGCTGATTATAGCTTCTTGGTTTTATTGTACCAGTAGTCAATTTTGCGAAGCACTGCCTTTGCTGCCCTCTATTGTTAGCAAATTCTTTGCTGAGCCCGTGAGGTCATATCTACCCATCGGCGCGAGGTTGGAATTTCTAAGTCTACCGGGGAATAGATAGGCCAATATTATATGTGTGCTGATTATTATGATGCATCTTCTTTGCATAATTGGAGCGTTCTTTTTTCAGTCAGTACAAGTTCGACGGCTTGGACCTTGATTGGGAGTATCCGAGCAAGAGGGGCGGAAAGCCGGATGACAAGGCGAACTACGTATCCCTTGTTAAGGTAAGATATCTTCCACCAAACCATTTGCTTATCCGAACCTATCGAAAAGGTTTTACGTTTGAATTCCGTCTGTTTGTTTATGTCTGTCGTTTTCGCGACGAAACAAGAAGCAACGGATTAAAATGGTTGTTTTAAAGTGACCGCATTAAGTCAGGAGAATGACGCAGGCTGTCTTTTGTCCAGCAAAAATATCTCTTTCCAACGGGAAACTACACTCTGACAATTTTTCTTGACCAATCAAGCGAAATCGCGGTTAACTGCTAGTAGATGATAAATCATCATCATCATTATCATCATCATCAGCCTGCGGCAGTCCACTGCTGCACAAAGGCTTCCCCCAAAGCTCGCCACTGAACCCGATCTTCGGTTCTACGCATCCAGTCACTGTCAGCTGCCTTGCGCAGGTCGTTGCTCCATCTAGCAGGAAGGCGTCCTACACTACGTTTACGGCATAACCCCCCTTATGATGATGAATAAATAATTCAAAATGTTCGTTTTATTCGTTTAGATTGGTTTCGTGATCATATGGCCATTCATTTCATATGAGGAGGTAAACCATTTCAGGAACTCAAAGAAGCTTTCGAGCCCAAAAGCTTGATACTAACAGCAGCCCTTGGAGCTGGCAAGGAGACGATGGAGTCAGCTTATGACCTGAGCAAACTGAGTCGTTACTTAGATTTGATTCATATGATGTGCTATGATTACCACGGAACCTGGGACGGAGTGGTCGGTCCGAACGCTCCATTGAGGGGACTGGATAATGAAGACGTTCTAAGCGTGGTGAGTGAGGGTAGTTATTTCTTTTTTTCTAGCAAGGGGTCGCACCTCCTATGTGGTTCCTTAGGGAGGGGAGGGGGGTATATTACTGAAACGTATGCTCTCGGCTGTTATCAGCTGCTCCATAAATTAAGAGTGAAGTGACATGTATTTTGGTTATAAGAAAAAATTTAAAATAATAATAAGAATTAAAGCCATATACCTATATGGCCGAGCACAGGACGATAGGCCGACCAGCACAAAGGTGAAAAACCATCTCAAAACTTCTAGGACACTATGAGGAACGCCATGGACCGGAATTGATGACTAGAAACTGTCCGTGCTGGAATGATGACCAACCTCACCTGACTAGCTCACATCCCACCTGGTGTTAAGTGGTTACTGGAGTCCATAGACATCTACGACGTAAATGCGCCACCCACCTAGAGATATAAGTTCTAAAGTCTCAAATATAGTTACAACGGCTGCCCCACCCTTCAAACCGAAACGCATTACTGCTTCACGGCTGAAATAGGCGGGGTGGTGGTACCTACCCGCGCGGACTCACAAGAGGTCCTACCACCAGTAAACAATAACAGAACTTCTTCTTTTGTGATGAACAGACGTTAATATATGAAATAGTCTCAACAGTGACCACCACAAAATGAACCATTTTGTTATTGCGTTAGAGACAGGTTAGCAACGTCAAGGCTATAGCGACATGGGTCCCATACGGACATTCACTTCGGTACCTTTGTTATAACTATTCCATGTACTGCTTCTGCATACTCAACTACCTTTTCCATCAGCCTTTTCAACCTTTTCAGCCATTCCCCTCAACTCCCAGTCCTGACGGTTGTATTAGTCACATTTTTTTTTTAATTTTTTTTAATTTAACTTTCACTTCACTGTATTTAATTTCTTTTTTAACTTAACGACCTTGACTTTGCTAACAGTACGCTATTGGCTCGCTGCCCACATGGAGGCGTGAGGCCAAAATCACATCCTTGGAACGCGCATGACTGCACGTGTATATCGGGTGTCTACCCCATTAGGGCTGCGCTTCATAATGCTCTTATTGTTACAGGAGTATACAGTCAAATACATGATCTCTCAAGGCGTGTCACCCTACAAGTTGGTCCTTGGACTCCCAATGTACGGGCGCACGTTCGTGCTCAATGACGCTTCAACGAAACGTCTTCAGTTCGGCGTCACTCCCGTGGAGAGTGCAGGATTCAAAGGACCTTATACAAGAGAAGCTGGTTTCATGGGATACAATGAGGTAAGTCGATCAATGGCACGGCTGTCTTTTTAGACCTTTTAGAGCTTTTGGTAAGAAGATGGACAGGACCAGGACAGGACCAGGACAGGACCAGGACAGGACCAGGACAGGACCAGGACAGGACCAGGACAGGACCAGGACAGGACCAGGACAGGACCAGGACAGGACCAGGACAGGACCAGGACAGGACCAGGACAGGACCAGGACAGGGATACCAATGCTAATGAAATACGTACCTACCCTACATTTGTTCATGAAGTTTTTCTCTTTTCCAGATCTGTGCAGAGGTTTCGAATAAATCATCGCCGTGGGAGTACCACTGGCACGAGGGGAGCGCCACAGCATACCTACGCGATGGAGCCAGAGTCATCTCCTACGATGATCCCAGAGCTATAGCAGCTAAAGTGAAGTCAGTA